TGTTTTTCTCTGGCTCCTCGTGTTTTGTTTTTCTCTGGCTCCTCGTGCTTTGTTTTTCTCTGGCTCCTCGTGCTTTGTTTTCTCTTGCTCCTCGTGTTTTGTTTTCTCTGGCTCCTCGTGTTTTGTTCTCTCTGATCCTCGGTCCCTCCACCCTTGCAGTGCCACCCTCCACCCGCCCTAGTCCTTCGGGAGGGGGGGGGGGGTACTGTAAGGATGGTACTTTTCTGTGGCCCGGTTTGTGTCTGTTTTCCTCGTGCTTCCTCATTAGTTTCCATTGTTGCCACCTGTGTCTCGTCCCAGCTGTTTGTCATCATGTCTCATGTTCTCCCAGTATTTAAGCCATCCTATTCTGTCTTGTTCTTTGTCGGGTCGTCTTCGTTGGTACTCTCCCTTGGGTCTCCTGAGTCTTGTCCTGAGTCTTGCCCTGAGTCTTTCCCTGAGTCTTCCTGGTCCCTCGAGTTCCCCGTGTCTCTCTTGTCGCCTGAGTTCCCCGTGCCTAGTTCATGTAAGTTTTGCTGCTCCGTCAGCTTGTTTATTTTGTACTTTTATTTACCATTAAAATCCTATTTTTGTATTTCTGCCGAGTTGAGTCCCTGTTCTGCACTCTGGGTTCGCTCCTAACCGCAAACCATGACAATCAGTGTATGAATGTGATAAAGAGCTGATTAGTCTCTTTAGAATGATTTGTTCAATTAGCTTTGTATAAATCTAGAGTGCTGTATGAATGGGTAAATGAGGACACAGATTGTAGTGTAAAGCGCTTTGAGTATATTGAAATAAGATAGAAAGGTTCTATATAAGTACAGTCCATTTACCATTTAAAAGGAAACACCATTTGTTTTTTCATTCAACCTTTATTTATATAGGTTAATCTGTAACTACCTGTAATGTAGAATTTGTGACTTCATTTTCAGATCATGTCTGTTATAATTTATGTTAATGCTTTAATGTGAGCACAGCAGTGATGTTTTCCTCACTTTTAATAAATAGTAATCCTAAAGTCCAACAGCCATCATTTTTTTCATGTTAAATATCCAGCAAAATATGATAGCACTATAACAAATAAATACCGATGTTCTGTGGCAAATGCCGAACAGTAAAGTAAACTGGTTTTAGAAAACAGTTTTTGTGATAATTTCAACCTGTTTCAGCTGCGGCTTTGGAAACGGCTCCTTCACTTCCATATGGAAGTTGAAGGGAGCTCAGTGGTGATAGACGCATCAAGAGTGGGAGTGAGTAATGAGATATGAGAGATTTGTGATTTTAGCAGGTTTGGATTTTGTAGTTAGGGTGCAATGTAATGAGTTTATTCGGTTTTAGTGTATTTGAATCAAAACAATGAGATGGTTTTTGAACATGAAGCTGCAGCTACTTCCTGTGGGCCCACCACCTGCAGGCGGGGCCATAAAAGTCAGGTGCATGATGCCATAGGCAGTGGCTGTAGGTTGGGGCCTTTGTGCTCTGACCCTGGCTTACCAAAACTGGCTCCTGAGACATGGAATGTGACCTCTATGGTGGGGAAGGAACTTGAACTTGTGTGTGAGGATGAGAGGTACCGATTAGATATAGTTGGGCTCTCCTCGACTCACAGCATGGGCTCTGGAACTGATCTCCTTGAGAAGGGCTGGAACTTATTCCACTCTGGAGTTGCCCATGGTGAGAGGCGCCGAGCTGATGTGGGTCTACTCTGTCCCCCAACTTAGTGCCTGCGTGTTGGAGTTTTCACCGGTAGATGAGAGGGTGGCTTCTCTGCGCCTTTGGGTGGGGGGGGGGGGGGGCAGGCTCTGACTGTTGTTTGTACCTATGTGCCAAAATGACAGTTCAGAGTATTCGGCCTTCTTGGAGTCCTTGGTAGGGGTGTTGGTTCCTAAATCTAAAAATTTACAGCCAATCCATGTGATCGGTATCAGCACCATGCGTGATCGGAACTGGTGATCGGCAGCAAAAAACCTGATCGAAGCATCCCTACATACAAGCATTGTATAACAGCAATTACCCCTTGAGATCACTTGGGACTATAATGGTGGGTGTTGGACTTTACTATTAGCACTGACAGGGATAATACCCAGAAAATTATATTTGGTGAATACTTAAGACCGTAAAAGTGTTGTGATTGTCTAATTTGTCATGATCCTGACGCTAATTGGTTGTAAAGGTCACAAAGGCCACATCAGGGTCATCCAACAATGTAAAGGGTGCCCAAATGAATACATTTTCCTTTGCCTCAAGAACTACATCATTTACTAATGTACCTCATTTTTACATTTTTTATTTTGCCTGAAATCTTCCTTTCTTATTAAATGTCTAATTTTATTCTTGTGTACTTTATTATGTCCATTTGGTGTAATTTTTGATCTGTCTACGTATAACTAAAACATGTATATTATCTAAATTATGACTGAAAACAGTTATTTTACTTACATGTACTTACATGGACAACAAAAATATGGATTTTTTTCCTAATGAACCAAAATTTTAGTTTCATTTACAAACTTGTGTGACGTTATTCTGCTGCATTTTAGCTGAAGAACTGTAATCTTAGCAACAGTCCCCAAATGATTCAACTTCAACATGTTTGGCAAGGATAAGTGGATAAATTTTGTTGCACACTTTCTGATTTCTCCTCAAGAGATATCTTTGATTAGTTTGATTCTAAGAGTTTGGCAGAAATCTTTGTTCCTGCATTATTACTATAATACAAAGAAGAGTACCACTCCTCCTACCATGCCCAAACACTCTGATGGGCTCCTCAGGATGCTGATGAGTGGACATCTTCTCACTGAAAAAGACCCTCCAGTCTCTGATTAAACCACACAGAAATGGAATAAACTCCACTGAAAACACGACCATTCAATCATTGCTATTTTACTGCTACAGGCTGAAAACCTTCATCCTCAGACTCTTTTTCTGACACACTGGTTTATAAAAAAGACAAATGTGCATTTTTTTTAAGTCCATACATGCACTCAAGTTTAGACAAACTGATGTTCAATTAATGTTTTATCGGTATTGACTGAATGTGACTCATACACTTGCAATCGTCGTTATTTTTCAAAAAGGAAACCCTGAAGTGAACAAAAGCACAGCTTTAAAGACTGCAGGTAAAACAGCAGACAGCAGGATGTGCCTATGAAACTTACCTGTAAATTTCCAACTTAACTCAGACGCCTATAATTCTCCATAAAATGAAAGGCGCAGTGCGATGGTGTTTAAAGTGCGCTCACAAAGAAATGGAGAGTTTCCCCCAAAGATGAAAAGAAAAAAACACAACACGAGTGTTCCAACTCCACAGAATCTACATCTGAAGCTTAATCTGAGCCTCTACTGTTTGTACGTGCACAGCGCAAAGACCATGTGCGTTGCTCATAAAAACAACAGTAAAAAAATAATTTTAAAAATATGCAGGAAGTTTTTAAACAAGGCAATAAATAAACTAAATTAACAATAAAAATTGAAGAAAAAATGAACAAAACTATTAAAACGAAAACGCTAACATTCTTTGAAAGGAACTGCCTGAAAAAATTCTTACCAAAGGTTCTTCAAAGACTGGCGCTATTTATTAGTGCTCGGAGTATGGGATGGAGAAGACTCTCAGCTACTACCTCAAATTTTAGCTCTGTGTTTGTAAAATTGTCAGTTGCAGACATGCTCTATGTTTTCTACGTGGTCAACTTGAATGAGAGTGATATAACTGTACTTTCTGAGTTTTATTAAAAAAAATGTTTAATTAATTAATTTGATACTTAGGTAGGTTTAACTAGGTAAATGTTACAGTTTATGACAGGAAAATAATAATAACACTAATAATTATAATAATAATCATCATAATCATCATCATTTGGAAAAGTTCCGGGCAGCACGGTGGCGTAACTGGTAGGGCTGCTGCTTCTCAGCGAGCAGGTTACCCAGATTCAAATCCCGGTCAGGGGGCCTTTCTGGGTGGAGTTTGCATGTTCTCTCTGTGCATGTGTGGGTTTTCTTCGGGTACTCTGGTTTCCTCCCACAGACCAAAAACATGCATATTAGGCTGATTGGTAACTCTAAATTGTCTCTAGGTGTGAGTGAGAGAGTGAATAGTCGTTTGTCTCGTTTGTCTCTATGTGTCCCTGTGATGGACTGGAGACCTGTCCAGGGTGTACCCCGCCCCTCACACAATGATCTCTGGACATGGACACCGGCGACCCCCCGTGACCCAAAATGGAAGAAGTGGGTAAAGAAAATGGATGGATGGATGGATGGATGGATGGATGGATGGATGGATGGATGGATGGATGGATAGATGGAAAAGTTCCAAGGTAACTCATTTCCTATTAACAAAAGAACATTACAGTATAGTTTTTGGATGTAAACTCCTCCACCACAATAGGGTGGTGCTTCAAGGAGGAGACAATAATAGGCTAAGACTTTCCAATTAAAAAAAAAATTAGATGTGCTCCACTGTAGAAGGAGTTTGAAGGAGAAGCTGTAGAAGGACGTGAGGACTGAGCTTCCCAGTCCAGCTCGCCTCAGCCGCCTGAGGAATAAAGTCTCTGATGTGCTTTCTTGATCATACTGGTAGTGTTGTTGCCCCAAGTGAAGATGTTACTCGGGTGCACACTTGCACATACCTGTAACTGCAGACCACTTCCACCATAGATCCTCCTATGTGAATTGTGAGGTAGGTGTGTTTGTCCCTTTTGAAATCCACAATCATCTCCTTCATCTTCTTCACATTGATGTGAAGGTTGTTCTTCCTGCACCAGCTCTCCAGATGTTCCAGCTCCTGCCTGTAACTGGACTCATCATTATTTGTGAAGCATCCAACCACCGCTGTATCATATGCAAACTTTACAATATGACAGCCTGGATGGGTAGGTGCACAGTCATATGTGAGCAGAGTTAACAGGATGGGGCTCAAGTATGTTCTAGAATTGCGCCGCTCAAGGTGGCTGCATGTTGGAGCAACTCTGTTACTTCCATTCTTAGATTTTGCTTTTGGAAACTTTAATTTCTCTTTTTCTGAGAGTTGCATTTGGACTTTGGACAAAAAAAAAAAAAAAGATCGAGCCCGGCCCCAACCCACAGTCATGATTTCCAAACCCCACCGACCCGACAAATTAACAGTTATTACAGGTCCGGACCCGGACCCCCCCCCCCCCCCCCCGACATTTTTAATTAGTTATTAACGGTCGAAGACGTACAGCTGAATAAAAGCGGCAGAAGATTTGGAGTTGATGGGGTGTTTGTTATTTCATGATCGTAAAAAAGCATTTAAACCCTGTTTCTGCTTGCATTCTTCTGAGACACACGGGCAGCTCTGACACACACGTCTGCTTTGGGATCTCACCTGTTTGGGTCGTCGGCCGCATGCATCTGCTGAGTGCAGCGGCTGAATGAACGTCCATTTGGGCGATGGATCGCTCCCTGGCAGTACAGCCCCATCTGAAGCTTAACTGAACTTTTTACCTCTTTCAAGGCCAGTCAGCTTGCAGTGAAATGGTCGCGTGCGGTTGGTGGATGTATGGCAGGCCATGTAATCATATAATTGGATCTCGACTGATCCTGACCTAATTAAAAGCCCTAAACCAGCCGCCTGCCCATTAATCATATTATAATCAGTCTATATCAGACCAGTATATATATATATATCTATATCAGGTCTCTCTTGTAAATGAGTCCTTGAGGCACAATGGGATTAACCTGTCTAAAAAAAGTTGAATGAACGGCCCGGCTCGGACAGATTCGGATTAGGGCCGAGCCAGGTTTCCGTTCGTGTTAGAAAGGACAGCTCTAGTGGGGGGGAGGGTTTACAATAGAAGTTTAAAATACTGTGATTAATACTCTAATGAAGCACTCATTTAAATATCCCACAATTATGTTGTGGGCTACAGGTAAATGTAAAAAAATATGTGTAAATTTACCAACTAGAAGGATGTGACCGCTGGTTTAATTAAAATTATCACTGGGCCATAAAGGGTAACACACAAGAATCAACCAATGGAATGGGTTACATAACCATACATTACATCACAATCAGTACTGTGACCAAATGCAAATAGAACATGTAAATGTAAAACATGTACATTGGTTTAGTGTTCTGATTCAACTCAAAGTAACTGTGTGGATCTGGAGAGTAACAACAAGATTCCGCAGAAAAAATAAAGCCATAAATAATCCGTTGTGGGAGACTGTCAGTTCTGCACTGCCTTTGGCCTTGGTTGTCCTCAGGCTGTTTCTGAGAGTAGCAAGCTGGCCTAAAACATTTGATTGTTGTACATGATGATTGATTGTTTTGGATAGATGGATATTTTGCACGTGTTAAAAGTCTACTATTGAGATTCCAACAGGAGGATGGCTTGAAACACAGCAATGAAGGCTTCCTATGGGACAGATCTGGTTGGCAGGCCGTAGACTGAGGAAGTCCTCTGAATGGAGACGAAATGTTTCTCACTTAAAGAGACTGGTCCAGATGACACAATTTAACCTTTTTTGTGTCAAGCCAAGCTTGGAAGCATTCTGTGATAATCTGATGGCATGGGGACTAGAAAAATGATGCGCAACACTTGAGTACTGTGGAAATTTAACATGTGCCTACCAAGCATGCGTCAATCTGCAAAACTGAGAGACATTCACAAGTACCAGAGAGGCAGCCAGTAAGGAAGCAGACTTTTAAAATAATACTGCCCTGGACATTGTTGCTTCTGAGATAGTGCTATAGCTAATGCAGTCTCAGAGCTAACTGCTTGGTGGGGTGTGGCTCAAATATTTCTGATCAGTAACTCTTGACATGCATTGATTTGTTTAGAACAATTGTTGAGAGTTTGTTTGAGTTTGCCAGTTGTTCAAAGTAAACGGTTTATTTATAGACTTATTGAAAATATAATGTTTAATAGGTTTTTTTTTTGCCTGTATTTTTGGCATCATGAAATAATGGTATTTATTTGTAGCAAATTTCATAAATTTTCTGTGGAAAAGAAGACTCTTATGAAGTGCTTAACAGAGTTTTAAGATAGCCATAAAATGTTAAAGCAGACTCAGTATTTATTAAATGTCGTATTGTGTTGCATTTGAATTTATATTTCTATTTAGTACATGACTGAAATAAAGTGGTGTAGTGTGGAGAAGTAAGATCTTTTAAGAAGCTTGTATTTGCTATTAGCATGTAATTTAGCCATGAGAGCAAATTGTACAAAAAATATCAGATTGTACTAACATCCTCTGTTGGTGTTGTGCTTTTACACAGTATAGTAGCAGTTTCTAGATGACAAAGGAGAAAGCATCTCCAAAACCGACAGTGCATGCTGGGAATAATGATTGGATTTCTTTTTATTACAGGTTGAAATCACAGTCAGCATGCCTGTAGACGGAAGGCCATTAACAATGTATTTCTCTGAGCAAGATTGGAGAGAAAGTCTATTTCCACAACCTGCTGTGAAAAAAGGCACCTGAAATATTGATTTGCGTTGAACTGTATGCTATTTTCAAAGTATTTTCATATCATCAACCTGCAGTCAGATAACTTTTCCCCACAGCGAGCTGAATTTGTATCTATCTTTGCTCTCTTTTAGGCTCCCAGGCTCCCATGACAAACACTTGAGTGTCTGGTAAATAGCTGCCTGGGTTATATTTGCAATTCAGGGACATGATCATGCCTTAGGTTTTCATGACCTGACAGGTTGAAACAGATGGCCACCAATCCTGAGCCCAAGTTTGGTTTTTTTCTGTTAAAGATGAGTCATTCCTTCTCACAGTCACCTAATGCTCAGACTGGGATAACGTCAAAAAATTCAACATAATCTTCTAGTTTCCTTAGATAAACATCTTTTAACTAATATACAGAATCAGACTTGTTGTATTATTGGATTGATTGGTATTGTCTATCTTTGAAACGTAATCGGATATGGATTGGACTTGTTACTGTTTTGTGGAGATGACTTGTTGTGATAGAGATGAACAATGATTAAGCCAGAAATGAACATTATGTAACAACTAACATATTTGGATTTGGCTCAGTGAGGGTTGAGTACCAAAAGATATTCAGATAAACTTAAAAAGATCCAACAAAGTTAAGCCAGGTTGTCTGAACAGTTTCTTCTTCTTGAAACGTTTTGACTTCATCAGT